ATTGCCATCAACTTTTTAGCTGTTAACAACTACTTAAAAGCTGAACAGGAAGACCTTTTTTTTTTTTTCTGAGCCAGAAGACTGAGGATACTTAAACAGTGACTGGATTATTGCTCCAGTTTGGGAACAATATGGTCTAAGGATCCAGTTTGCCTTTTACACAGCAATGTTCTGTTTTGTCAGAACAACATATTATTGGCTTCAAAAAGGGGATTGGAGCTAGTGGTGCCTGTTGTGTACAATACTTACAATTTCATAGAACACACAAGGCAGGGTCTCCTTTCCATCTCTCAGAAGAAAGTTCTTTGCCCCATAAGCTCCAGGTGTGACTGCAGAATCCAATGTGCCTGTGCCAGTGAAAAAATGAAATGTTACTGGAGGACTGAACTATTCATTTTGTACCTATTCCAGTCACCTTTGAGAGCTGAGTGGATCTGCCAGAAGGAAAATTAGATGGTGCTCATGCCAGTGTTCTGTGGGTTCAAGTATTTCACCTCTTGTGCCTACAGTTAATAAATTTTTTTAGAGTTGTTGCCCTACCATAGTTATCAGTTACATCCCAATCTCTTGTGCTTACCTAAAACTTCAAATAACAGAGGAGTTCTATAAGTATATTGACTCCAGTGCCTCACACTTTGAATGACAGCAGAGAGGATTCTCAGGGAATTCTTCTCTTTAATTTTTATCTGAGGTAAGGAAACTTCCTTTCAGAGGGAGAAAAAAGCTCAAATTAGACACAGACACAACTTTAAAAGGCACAGAGACACTTAAAAATCATGCTAAATAGCAGTATTTACATTAAAATTAGAGTCTTTGTTCAGAAGACACAAACAAGTCCCTGCCAGTTTATCTGACTATGCTGAGGATTACAGGTTATTACAGCATGAAGATCTCAGTTCTAAATTTTCAGAAACTCAAGGGTTTGCTAAGGCAGCTTGGGCTGCTGAAAGCCTCATCTTTCATCAGTTTTCTTTATTTTTATCATTCTCTTCATTGTATCTTCCTATTAACTCTCTCCATGAGTTTTACCTGACTTTTCTCTTCTCGAACACAATCAAATTGCTTTTCATTCATTTTACTTCTCTGCCTGTTGTAGTTGAATTTATATGCTGGACCCTGATCCTGCAGATTTCTTGCCACAGTGCTGGGTTTCCCTGGCCACTGTCCTCTGGATGTGTGTGCCTGGCTGGGCTCTGCCTGAGCTGAGTTACGGTTATTAGGAGCTTTTTGCTGCTGGACAATCTTCAGACTATTTGAAACATTCTCAAACTTTTGAACAATTCCACTACCAGATCTTGAATCTGTTGTGATACTGAAAGGAGTGTATTGATTTCTGTTCCAGCCTTTAGTAGTGACAGTCTTGTCCTCTGGCCTGCAATATATCAGACACAGTTCAGTTTTGCCGTATCTGGAGACTCAGAAATGTAATTAAAGTATAGAAAAGCAATCTATACACTGTTGGTTTAGCTTTAAAACCATCCCAACTCAAAGCATTTGACTTTACCCATGTGCAGGGCAGTGAGCACACCTGTGATAAATCCATCTGGCTTCACCAGGCCTTAAAAGGCTTGTTTAATTATTGTCCTGACCCAAAATTCACATTTCTTTCCACAACTCTAAACGTGTTTTCCCACGAGAACAACAAGGGAGGATAACAGACATTAAAGACTCCACCAACCTGCAGGCAGCCAAGTTTTTTCCAGCATTGCCTAAATGAAACCTTGATGCATTTGGTGGTTTCATGAGGGCAGGAGGCACCAGATGGTCTGTTTGGCTTTCAAAGACAAGAGAAAGTATCAGTGACACAGGAGCAGCTTTACAGTATGACAGACAGTTTGTGAAACAATCAGTACCCAAATAAAACCCAAAAAAGCAATAAATAAGTTGCTGTTACATACCCAGTGCTTGTTGCTTTCTGCAGTTCTGCCCCTTCTGGGTTTGCAGTTCCCCAGCCTAGTTTTCAAAAGACAAAGGATTGAATATGGATACAAACAGAAGGGATTGAAAGGTAACAGGTCTATGTGGAGTCCTATTCTGTATCTCCTTCATGTCCCACAAACAGGCTCACAGGGGAAGGAAAAGGGAATGAAACAGGCAATGTGATCTTTGATAACTGTAATTATAAGGCAACTTGTCACAAGTAAGTTGCTCCTCTAGACAATGGCTCAGTTATTAGCACAGAGACTTTTCCTTTGTTCTAAGTAAACTTTTTAACTTGATTGCAAGTCAAACCTAATGAAGGCACCACAGGCAGAATTCTGCACTGTTCTTTCCAAGCCCAACTGGAAGAACAGAAGTTCCTTTCTGAATTACAAGAGAGACATCTAATAAATGTTTCTTCTTGTAACACAGGACTTGAATGTTGATTGAAATCAACTGAAAACAAAAGGTCAGTTCTAAGAGACTCTATTTAAATGCCAGGGAGACTTCATTCCCCGACACACACACAAAGAGTCAAACTCCCTCTAGGCACAAAATATAAAAAGCTCAATTGTACAGAGGAGAAAGAAATTTCCTGGAGGACAATTTTTACATAATGGACTTGTCAGAAATAACTATAAAGGATGTATATGGCTCTTGATAAAGACACTGTCTGATTTCAGAGACTGCAGTCAGAAAGTGAAGATTTATTTGGATTCAGAGCCACTGAAACAATAAAATATTTACCAAATGATGTGAGAGAAAAGTTGTGAGACCCAGAACTGGTACTGGGCTCATTTCTGAGTGGATCTGAAGTGAGAGGCTGCCTGGTCCTCCTCTTCTGGTTGAACAGTGGTACAGGCAGACACCCTAAAATGAAACTCAAGTTCATCATCATCATCATACCAACAGCAAAATCCTATACAATCTACACTTGAAATCCCTAAATAAAATGACCTAACAAGTACTTCACATCTCACCCTTAGGAATTATATTTCATAAACACAGAGCAGACCATTCCCTCACTGAATTTATTATATTCCCAACCCTCTGTCCTGTGCAATAATCCCATGAGTGAAACCTTTCCCTGACTGAACAGTTCCAAAATCTTGCCCTGTGCTACAATGGACAGGTAACCCATGCAAGGACACTCAGGAAATGAGGATCTGGGGCTGAAAGCTGAATATGTATGTTCCTGTATGAAAACTGCCCCTGGGTGTGTGTGTGTGTATAGAAATAGAATGAGGTGTGAATGGCAAAGCACAAAAGAAGAGTTGGTACCTGCTGTGCTGCGACTTGGGGTGTCTCCTAAACCCCTTTTCATCTCTCTGCTGTGTCTTAACAACCAACAATATATAGATCACTCCAAATTTGCTGTACAGAAGTTAGAGGAGAAGACAAAGCGAGTTAATTCATGCTGAAGCATCCGGCTTTGACAATAAATGTGGTTTTTTCTATTTTATAAAACCTTCAGCCAGTTTCCTCATATATAAAACACTTCACAAATCAACAAGACATTACTATCAGCTGAATGTTATGAAGAGAAGTATATATTGGCATATTAGGTACAGGTACTTTGCTGTATTTATTGTCTGATTAATCTACTTGTAAATCTCTGTCACTGTATACACTGAGGATGCTGCACAGACTATTGTGCAGCTTCACTTGCTGTTCTATCACATTTAGTTACTGGTGCATATTGCCTTTAGTGCCACATGAATAATAACACCACAAATTTCAGTGTATGTATCATATAAGACATTCCCTCTGCCCTTATTTTGATCTGGCAGTTAACTACACACAGCTATTAAAGACACTCATAAGAATGAGGCACAGCTTCTCTCACAGCGAGACCCAGAGATAATTTACTCTTTGTTTCTGTTGAGATTCCTCAATTACATGTGTGGGAACATTAGAGCAGCTTCCAGTTTATGGCTATTGCACAATTTACCTCTATTTCTAGCACTATGAAACCTAATAGCCACCAGTAAGTGACATATTTCTAACATAAAACCCCACGAACTCAACATTTCGGTTTATGAGTTTTGGCACTGCAGAGGGTTTTAGGGTGTATGGTTTTGCTTTCTGACCTCTGCTGAAGAGAAGCAGCCAAAATCGAGAGCTAAAGCAGTAGAAAAAGAGTGAGTTAAGGCTGGAGAAGGGGAGAATGCAGGATGAGAATCAGCAGTGCCTGACACACAGCTCTGCTGAGCCTAGAGACAAAGCTGAGGGTCAGGGCTGAGGGACAAGGCTGAGGGCTCTGATGTCCTTGTTGGAGTCTGAGGGACAGCACTGAGGGCTCTGATGTCCTTCTTGGAGCCTGAGTGTCAGGGCTGAGAGACAAATCCAATGGCTCTGATGTCCTTGTTGGAGCCTGAGGGACAGAGCTGAGGGACAGCACTGAGGGACAAGGCTGAGGGCACTGATGTTCTTGCTGGAACCTGAGGGACAGGTCAGAGTGTCAGAGCTGAGGGACAGCACTGAGGGCTCTGATGTCCTCGTTGCAGCCTGAGGGACAAGGCTGAGGGACAGCACTGAGGGACAGAGCTGAGGGCTCTGACACCCTGGCTGGAGCCTGAGGGACAGCGCTGAGGGCTCTGACACCCTGGTTGGAGCCCGAGGGACAGAGCTGAGGGCTCTGATGTCCTTATTGGAGCCTGAGGGACGGTGCTGAGGGCTCTGCTGCTCTGGCTGGAGCCTGAGGGACAGTGCTGAGGGACAGCGCTGAGGGCTCTGATGTCCTTGTTGGAGCCTGAGGGACAGCGCTGAGGGCTCTGACACCCTGGTTGGAGCCCGAGGGACAGAGCTGAGGGCTCTGATGTCCTTGTTGGAGCCTGAGGGACAGCGCTGAGGGCTCTGCTGCTCTGCTCGGAGCCCGCCCCGGGCAGGACTCACACCGCGCAGGGAGCGGCAGAGCTGCCCACACGGCCCGGGCGGGGGGGACAGGACAGCTCGCAGGAGTGACTAAAATCAGCCCTTAATTAACCCTTAATTAATTCCTCCTGTCCGCGGGGAACTGGGGGTGTGTCTCCTCGAGAGAACACGGGGCAGGAGCTGAGTTCTCACCACAGCCGAACACAAACGTGGCTGTAAATAAAACTATCTGCGTTCCTCTCCCTGTTTACCTCTTCAAGAGCTGTTCTGGGGTTTACACGTGGCTGGTGTAACTCCTGCTGTAACTTCTGTGTGAGATCTGAGTGTTTGGCAGGGTTGGAGCCTGTCCTGTGTCTGTAATTCTTTTCCTTCAGCCCTGGAAGGCTCTGGAGAGCCAAGTTACACTTCTTATGTGTGTGTATATATATATACACA